TGCGTACACACCTCCGCGCGGTGGTCACTCAGTGTCCGTCTGCCTCTCGGCAGGGCGCCCGCTGCCAACAGCTCATCTGCGACCCCAGCTACGTCTCGGACCGCGTAACGAAGGTCGGCCAAGTGATTCGGGTAATCTGTATCTTGAGCCACCCGATCAAGAACACGAACGATGCCAACTCCTGCCAGATCATCATTCCACAGAATCAGGTCAACCGAAAATCAGGTGCGTGGACTGCCGGGGCGCGGCGCAGGTCTTGTCGCGCTCGGGTTGAGGCGGAGCGGTCGTTAAACGGGTCTCGCGCCGGACACGCGCTCCCACGGTCCGGTGAGATGTGAATCAAACAGGAAAATGCACTTGCCACCGCTCCTGCGGCAGACTTCATGTCCTTCTCCAGCAATCCTTTAGGCCCCGGCGAGGCTGCGCTTTGGTTCAGAGCAGCGGTGGGGGAGGTGGGAGAAGGTGCCTGTGGTCAGAAAGCCGTGCGAGGAACCCGCCGAAGGGAGTGCCCCAACCTGGGAGAAGTTGGGGCGAAACTTCTGGCGAAAAGGACGCCAACTGGCGAAAGGACGAGAGGAAACGGCCTCAAGTTGGGCCAGGGGAGGTTTAGATTGGATGTGAGGAAAAATGTCTTTACTGAAAGAGTGGTTAAACATTGGACCAGGCTGCCCAGGGGAGTGGTGGAGTCACCATCCCTGGAGGTATTTAAAAGACGGGTAGATGAGGCGCTGAGGGACGTGGTTTAGTGGGCATGGGGGTGTTGGGTTGACGGTTGGACTCGATGATCTTGGAGGTCTCTTCCAACCTTAATGATTCTATGATTCTAAGTGGGTGAGGAGCACGGGGGTGCTCTGGGAGGGGGGCGAGGGCTGAGCGTGCAGGAGGGGAAATGCTTCCTCGGCCTCGAACCGAGGGATGGGCTGGCTGCTGGGGAACCCCCGCTGGCTTTCAGGAGCCGTCATAGCCACAGGAAACTGGATTTCGGAGATCTCGCAGGGCTGCTGGTGTCCAGGCCCCTCAGCCAAGAGACTTGAAAGCGTGTAGGACTGCAGGGCAAGGAGGGAACTCATTCAAGCGTGGCCTTAAACGAGACGGGGAGGTACGAAGTGTCATGGGAGCAGGAAGAGGCGCAGGAGTGCGCAAGTTAAGAGGAGGCTTTTGGGATGAGGCAGGCCTGACCCGGGCTGTTGGCTTGCCTGGCGCATTCTGACCTGCCGCTGTGATGTCCTTCCCCAGATATCTACGTCTGCATGATCTCCTCTGCACACAACGTGGCAGCGCAGGGGAAGTACATCGCCATTGCCAGCACTACTGTGGAAACCGCGGACCCAGAGAAGGAAATCAAGCCAGCCTTGGACCTCTTGGAGCCCATTGAGCAGAAGTAAGCCCTCGACGAGCCCCCTCTCCCCCTTCCCGCCTCGCCGCTCTCCGCTGCGAGCGCTCGGGCCTGAGGCGTGAGGGCAGAGGGGATCCGAGGGCCGTCTGGCTGCACGGAGGTGTCAAAACTGCATTTCCTCTGCACCTTGACTGCTTCCGCGCCGGGCAGAGCGATGCCCTTCCACTCGGCCGTTCTTGCACCCGTACTGGTGCTCAGCGATGCTTTTTAGAGCATTCTGAAGCTCTTTTGTTCTTTCCCTCCTTCCAGGTTCGTTAGCATCAGTGACCTGTTCGCGCCGACCGACTTGGGAACCGAAAGCCAGGTCAGTAAGCGCCAAGCTCGTGTTTGAGGGGGCGAGGAGAGGGGCTCGACGCTAAACTGCTGCTTCTCTTTCCAGATCTTCATTTCTCGCACCTATGACGCCACCACTCACTTTGAGACGACGTGCGATGACATCAAAGATATTTATAAGAGGATGATGGGATCAGAGTTTGACTTCGAAGAGATGAAACGCAAGAAAAATGATATCTATGGGGAGGAGGAGCAGCAGTAATGAGAATCTCTAATTAGGAGAAATTTAAATCGGCTAATATGAATATATAAGGAACTTAATGAACACTGTATGAAATTCAATATTGTAAGGCCTGCTTTTGTAATCCCATCTCTGAGAGATTGAAGAGTACTGCACTGGTAATGTTCCCCTTTTGGATATCATGTGTTAATTATTTCATTCTAGTAGGGCTGCTGTCCAGAATCTGGCAAATTACTGACTGATTTAATGACTAACCTCGTAAGCGAGAGGCAGACTGAACCTTTTTTTTTTTGCAGACGTAGACGTTGGTGCAGATTTGAAATAACTCATTGACAGCTGTGTCTTACCTTGTATTTTTAATCATTTGTAAACATCCTTCACAATTATGTGCTTTTGGTGAGCTAGTAGATGTGACGGTTGTCACTCGAACCTGATATCAAGGAAAATAGAAACTGAGCACTCCATTATTGTGGACAGCATCCCTAAAGTCTCTTCCCATCAATCTAACTCTGTGGCAAGTTGTATTATGGACAAAGCCCACATCTATTGTAGCAGCAAATGTTGGCTTAGTTCTGGGCACAGAACTTAACCTCCACTTAAGCTTCTAAAACTGTTTACATTGGTTGGGACACAGCTGTGCCTAAGGCTCCTTTGTGTTTTAATCTTAATAAAATTGAGAGAACAAATTACAGAGCAGGCAAGATGTGGAAGTATTTTCTGTACCCTGGTGGCTTCTCGGATGGACCAAACGGCACTGCGGTATCGATATGACAGAGCCTGTGCTTCTCGTGTCTCCTGAAGGCTCCAAATGATTTCTGTACTGCGAAGTAAAGCCAAATTCTGGAAACCAGTCCTGTGCTCTGGTCTGATTCACTTCAGTTGTACGAGCAGCCTCTCCTTTCCGAGATCCCTTGGATCTCTGCCCGCCAGGGTCGACACGTGAGTGGTACAGAGCATTTCCTACTAGAAAACAGGCTCAGGCATCCTTGGTTTGGCTTCCCCAGCCCCTGCTGCTCCGGCTGCTCTCGGGGCTGCTTTTGGCAGGGGAGAAGATGCAGCAGCACAAGGCCTGTCACTCCCGTCTCAAGCTGCCGGTAGGCGCGAGCCTGCTCCCTCCCTGCAGCCACCCCCTAGCGCCTACATCCAGAAATGGCACTTGCTTGGAGCAGCAGTAAATAATTCTGGCCCTTACGGCTCCTCTGCAGGGCGCTGACCTCTCTCTGAGTAAGAGAGGCTCCTCTTCGGAGTGAGCCTTACTGATCCCATCCCCTGGCTCGGATCCTGCAGCCATCCTGCTGTTGGGCGGCAGGTGGACAGCGAGGAGACGACGATGCCAAGCGCCAGGAAAAATGAGAAAACGCCTTGGGACGGCTTATCTCCTGCTCTCGGCTGCCGTGCTCGGCCAGGTAGGCTTGCTCCTAAAGGCTTCATCCTTCTCTTCAGCCGTAGCTGTGCCACGCTCGTGCTGCTGAGGAAGAGGAACTGGGTCTTTGACCACATCTCGTTCACGAAGCGGCGCTGCGCTAAACCTGGCTGCGGCTGCCCCTTTCCTTCCTCCCTCCCCGGGGTCTGGGGCTTTTGGCACTTCCTCTCCCCGGGGGGCCGGTTCCAGGAAGCACCTTTCCATTTTAAGCCGCCGGGAGCCCGGTGCCTGTACTGCCGGAGCAAGGCACGTAGCGGTGGCTGGGGAAGTTCTCCCTTGCTTTGTGCTTCCTCGCTTCAGCTGCTTCGGGTGCTCGGCGTCACCAGGCTGAGCCTTTTTGGAGGCAAGGCAGACCTAACGCACGTGGAAAATGAGCTCCTTCCCCTAAACGCTTCTGTTACCCCTCTCTGCTGTGACCTGGTTCTCCCTCTGGCTCTCGGTACGCCTCTCCTGCGGGGAAGGAGGGAGGGTGTTGATCCTGCAGCCCCGAGTCTCCACGAGCCCACCCCGGCTGGAGCCAAACGGTCTTGCTCGCTCTTTCCTTCCTGCCTGGGCTTCCAAGCTGGGGGCGATGCAGAACAAAGCTGATTTCTGATCTACGCGTGAGCTGGGAAAGCTGCCGTCTGCTGCCGGGAGAGGCTGGGTGCTGAGCAGGAAACCCCTCTCCGGAGAGCAGCGGGCTGTGAAACTCAGTTTTTAGGTTTTATTAATCAAACTGCACAAACTCATCCTATATGTAACGTCTTGTTGCATCCTTTTATTAAAATTAAAAAAAAACAAGACCCCCCCCTGTCCTCCACATCCACGGGCAGGGTATCTTACAGAGGTCTTTAATGCGGCATTTTCTTCCCAGCGCGTGTTTGTCTGAGCTACCATAAATAAAAGCTTTTTCTTCGCCCCTCCTGTCACCTGGCTATTTACAAGGCTCCCAGGGGCTGGAACGCGCTCGAGTCCCAGCAGTGAAATGGTACCAAGAGGCAAGAGGGGCAACTTGAAATGTAGTGTAGAGCGGACTGTGCGGCAGGCTCGCCGCCCCTCGGGCGACGGTCGCTAACGCCCATTTAAAATGTACACCCACCCCCCCCGTGGCCAAAAAAAACTTGCAGACGGTAGGTACAGCAACAGCCACGTGGAAAACGCATTTGTTATCGCGGACTCGTACCGCTTCTAACCCTCAAGTAAACAGCTGTTTTTTAATTATTTTTATTTTCCTATTTCTTCCGCTGTCAGTTGCACTAATCACTTGAAAACATTCCAATAATTTAAAACGGTGTAACGTTAAAATAGCCTCTGTCCTATATGCAACTCGATGGCAGGGAATAAATCCTCGGGAGGATTTGCATTAGCCATCTTTAAATAATGTCTATATACAGAACTAGAGCCAACCTTCCCCCGCCACCTCTCCACGCACGGCTCCTGTGGGCAGCACCCGAGACCCACCGGGACGCCGGGGCCATCCCGCAGAGGACCAGGATGCCCAAACCGGTGCCGCAGGGCCTGGGGAGGAGCCGTGCCGCGGCTTCGCTTCGGCACCTGCAACACAGAGACGTGGGACAGGGTATTGCTCCGCTCCCCTCCCCGTTCCGGGC